CGCCTGGTGCGTGCGCTGGAAGACGAAACCAGACTCGGCGGCGAACGCTGGTATTTCCTCGCAGGGCCAGGAGGTTCGGTGTCGCCGCCTGTATCGGAGCTAAGCCCTGTGCCTCGAAGGCCTAGAGGGTAAGCATCATCTGGTACTGCATGATGTTCGCCAGCAGGATCCGAGTCAGAGTCTTCAATCACCATTGTCGTGGGATCCTCGGATATGATAGCGGCGGGGGCAAGAGTATGATCGGGATGGCGTTCACTCATATCACCATGTGCAGGATAGAGGAACTCAGGGGACGCGCACTCATCGTCACCAGGTTCGGTATCATGAGGGTGATCACGAGAGGCAGGAATGTCAATTGATTCGAAATGGCCTGGAACTGCACCATGGTCATGGGCATCAGCAGCATCGGCTTCAAGTAGCTGAGATCCTGGATGCGTATCAGGATGCATGATCTGTGACATACGACCTTGAGCTCTCTCCAACTCCTCGAAAGAGTCACTTGCTAGTTCACCACCAAGTTCACGACGTAGACGGTCATGACTATCAACTTCAGGTGTTGCGGTACCCTCGACCTCCGTCTGAACTTTTTCGAGCAAGGTGAGCTCCTCCACAACGTCGGCCTCGAGCAGGGCTTGTTGGCTGGGGGGCAGGACGAGCTGACTGGGGAGCGGTTCACGCACACGTTCAGCTTCTTCGGCGTCGTCATGTATGGGGACCAACGCCGTCTTGTCACCAGTCAATTCAGCAAGGCTTGGATTAGGAGGAGAGCTCGGAACGAAATCGTTGAGGGGTGTGATGCCCTTCTCCTGCCTACCAATCATGCCAAAGATGTTGCTGAGGTTGGGTGTCGCTCCAAGAGATGCCAGAGAGCTCGTAAGGGTAGGCGCCCAAGTGGCTGTCGATGAAGCTGAGGTCGAAAGCGAGGAAGCAGGTGCCGTAGTCCTTGCCTGCGGTACCGCAGAGGTAGAAGTCCGCTGGGTGGGGCCGTCGTCTTCATGTGCGAAGCCATCGTCGGGCGGGGCAGCGAGCATGATAGAAGGTGTAGGGCCAGTCGCCTTGTGCTCTTCGAAGAAGTCAGAACTCCTCAAGTCGGCAAAGTGTGCAGCTCCGTCAAGCTCATGATATGGGTCCTCAACAGTATCTTCTGCTCCAAGGTCCCCAAATTGTTGAAGTTCGGCAAGCTCCGAGTGAATACGAGCATCGAGGGCTTCCGCAATCATAGAAGCCTGACGAGCTGCCTCGGCTTTCTCCTCACGAACATCATGAAGCCCCTTGCGGAGAGCAGCGCGTTCGAAAGCTTGCATGCGTTCACTGGCTTGTAGGTGTTCACGAAGCTGCTGAACTTCCAGTTGCTGGCGCCGTAGAAGCTCGGTGTCCTGGTCACGGGCCTCCGCAAACTGCATCCGCATCGTCTCGTAGGCGTGTTCCTGCTGGTACCGATGTTGGTGCTCCATAATGATTTTGAGCTGCTGCATCTCTGCATCCTGTGCCTCGAGCGCCTCCCAGTACTCCTGCTGGTTGCGCCTGGTGGACTCGGCCTTCTCCATCATGGCATGCGTCTCCGAGATCTCCTGCTGGTAGGTGGAGGTCTTGTCGTGCTCCCTGCGCTGCGCATCGTAAGCTGACCTCTCGGCCAGTTGTAGCTGATGACGTTGATGGTGCTCGAACTGCATGTAGGACTCCTCCCTGATCTTATGTTGACGAAGTTCGGCCTGTTGGAACGTGAACTCCTCCACCAACAGGTTACGTTCGGCAATGGCCCGTTCCAATTCAGCCTGTTGAGCGACGTTGGCTTCCTGAGGTCGTAGGTCAGCAACTGCAGTGCTAGCAGGTTGGGCTTGGCCGGCAGGTGGAGCTGAGTGGGCATGGCGATCGTCGCGTTCGCGGACTTCCTTCTTGATCTGCTGGATGGCACGGCCCTGCATCGTCATCTGCTCCTCAAGCCATTTTCGCATCATGGTGATCTCACTGGTCTCCGTGCTGACCTGGGGAGAACGCGCTGGAGGTGTAGCAACTGGTGTCCTCAAAAGCTTAGAGGGTGTCCTCGGCGGCGCAGGTGAGGGTGGAGCTGCAGTAGCAGACATTACCGCGTTCGTACGGCTGGAGTTCGCAGCCGTGGAGCGTTGGGCCGCTTGGAGGTCCTCGGTGGTAGGAGCCTGGGCAGCAGGAGGAGGTGGACGCGGCTGGACAGGGGCAGGAGCGGTGATGCCACGTATATGCCTGCCATCGACCACTGGGACATTAGGAGACGAGGCCGTCGGCGGTCGATGGTCGCGCTGAAGACCAGGCTGAAGAGGGCGGCCATGTCCTCGCGCTGAGTGCTGAGCAGGTTGTTGTAGTGGCTGACCATCAGCATGAGGAGGATGCGGGGCTCGAGCTGGGCTCGTCCAAACAGCATCGGCGGCTAGAGAAGCAGGAGCACCTCCAAGAGCATGGCCAGCTTGACGTCCCTCCTGGTGGGCGCGAACAGCTGGAGGGTCGCGCGCGATGGAGATCGACAGGGCCTTCCTTCGATCGTGCCCGTACTCGTCGGAGCTGGGCGACTCGGGCGGCAGGTTGCGTGCCTCCGTGAGCAGGTCCGTCCAGTACCTCACGTTCGCCTCCTGCAACAGGATCTCTATCTCCAGGTCCCGCTGCTGACGTCGTACTGCCTCCAACTTCCCGTTGGCCTTGTTGATCCCGTCGAGGGCTTCCTTCTCGCGGACCGACTGCGGCTTCACCGTCCAAGCCATGAACTTGAGAACGGCCAACTCCTTCTCCTGGTGGGAAGCGTCGAGCTGGGAGAGTCGTGCTCGGGCGATGAACTCCGCAAGCACCTTCATCTTGGAGGCCACGTCCTCGCGGTAGCGAGCAAGGCCTTCCCGCGCTGAGGGAGGGGCGCGGTAGGAAGGAGATGCCAAAGCATAGGCCGTGGTGCACATGGTGGCCGACGCGATGATCTCCTTGGTCTCTGCTCGAAAGTCAGGAACAGCGTCATCTGCCCGGCGTCGCCCTTGGTCTCGATGCCCTCCCTGGTCGCGACCTCCCTGATCACGAGCATGCCCTCTGGGTTCTCGTTGATCTCGAGCTGAATCTCGTGCCTCACGAGGTGGATGCTGTCCTTTCCCAACTCCACGAGACTGACCAGCACCGCGTTGAGCCATCGTGAGGAGCGCTGAGAGGCCTTCGACAGCTGGTGAGCCCGCACTGTGGTGCAGGTCCAGGATGTTGCGCGCCTGGAGGACGCGGAGCAGGGTCCTCGCAGCCCCGCGCTGGCGCCGAAGGCGCCGATGCCAAGCTGGGGACCGAACCCGCTTGGCCGTGCTCGATGAACAAGTAGCCGCTCCTGCGGCTAAAGTTGGCGGGCCGCCTCACCCCCCGACTTTGACCGAAACCTGCAAAGCCGCCCTGCGGCCGCGGGCGATGGCCCCGCTCGCCCGAGCCCCGAGCGCGCGGTGCCCCCTCTGGGCGGGCGCGGCTCGGGCCCAGGCTCTCCTCCTCCTCCTCCTCCTCCTCCTCCCCCTCCTCCTCCTCCTCCTCCTCCTCCTCCTCCTCCTCCTCCTCCTCCTCCCCCTCCTCATCCTCCCACGGGCCGCCCCCAGGGGCCACTGGGTGGACCGGGCCGTATCCCTCCCGTCCCCAGTGCTGCCCCTGTCTCCCGCCTATCGGCCGCTCCAAGTTGGGCCCCTGGGGATGGGGCCCGGAGGACAGGGAGCAGGTCACGAGTCGAGCCTCCACCGTCTGAAGCTCTCGTCGTGGGCATCCTTTCACCGATCCCTATCCCCACCGGCGTGGTCTGGGCCCCACGGGCCGACTGACAGGAAGCGGATCAGAAGTGGAGCCTCCACTGTCTGAACTTCTCGTCCTCAGCATTCTTCCACCTATCCCGATCTAAAACAGGGCTATGATCGGGATACATCGCTCCAGAGCGTTCCAGAGCGTTCTCAGAGCGTTCCGGAACGCTCTGGAGCGGCCGCGGCGCCCAATACATCCTCCAAACCCGCCGATTCTCAGAGATTTCGAGTTATCCCGATCCGATTTTGTCCCGATCTTCGCGTCGTTTGACTATCCCCACTGGCGCGGCCTGGGCCCCACTTGACACTGAGGAGCTCGTGCTCCTCTGAAGCCCCAACTCTTGCCGAAACCGGCGCGCTTCCCGAGACGCCGACCACCACATCCCCAATGCGGTTGAAGCCGACCGATGTTTCAGCCGGCGCCCACGCGGCCAGCTCTCGGACGTCCATTCCCTGTGTTTTTTTCGGTTTCGTGCGTGTTTTTCTTTTCCGCGGGATGATCCAGGATGCTCCTTAATAGTCCCCGCCGAAAGAAAGGTGCACACGTCCGAGCGATACCACGCGGCCAGCTCGAGAGCCCACAGCAAGACGCTTCCTCTCCTGCTCTGGTGGGGGCACCTTCGGCTTCTTCCGCAGGCCTTCGCCCTCCCCCCCCCCCCCCCCTCCCTCCCCCCCTGCACCGCCCGAGGCGAGACGTCAACCCCATCGATCCCTCGAAGGCGCGGCCCTTGCTGGAGCGGCACGCGAGAGCCAGCCCCTCCGGGGAAGGCGAGGGGGCCTCCTGAAGACGCCTCGGAGGCCTCGCAGGAGGCCTTTCTGAAGGCAGGAGGGCTTCCGCCGCGCCCCCCGCCTTCCTTGGAGGGCCCCCCGCCAGACCCAGAGGTCTCGACCCATTCCCATGGGCCAGTTTTTCCTCCCGAGTCGTTCTTTGACTGCCCTGGCGCCTGGCGAGAGCCCCCCGAGGCAGGCAATAGCAAGCAAACATGCCCGTGATGTTTTTTTGTGCACGGTGCGCATTTCAGTAAGGTGTACTTGCAGCTGCTGGCAATGAAGAGAGGCTCAACACACTGCTGAGCCACAGGCCACAGAGTGAGAGGGAAGCCGTTGTGAAAGAGTACTGCCATAACGGCGGTTAACTTTTTCCCGTACTAATGTGCCGTTTTGCGCACGCAGTCTCTTGCTTGCTTGCTTGCTTGCACAGTTCAAGACGCCATTAGTGTATGATGCGACGCTTCGGGAGCTCTTAGCTCCCCTCGACAGGCATGGGCCCACATGGCAGCCGCGCGGCGCACGCATCCTATACACACGTGCACGAAGAGGCAGACTGCGAGTGCGACTGATGGCACATCTGGGAGCCCATGAATAAGGATGATGACCTCGCCTGAAGGGGGACCCCTAGCAAAGTAGCTAGAACCCTGTAGAAACATGGGGTTGGAGGTCCCCGTCGGCGCATCAGTACCTGTGACGAGCACCGCCGTACCTGTGACTCAGAAATGTGCTTGAAGGCAATCGGACATCACCACCGCACCACGCGTCTGGGAACCCATGAAATAGAGAGAAGCCACACAGTTTGCCTTGTTCAGAGACGCGATGGGGTCCAGGCCTGGCGCCGCCCTCTTCTGCGTGCCCGGCGCGTCGGGGTGGCGCCCGCGCGAGTCCTCCTCCTCCTCCTCCTCCCGGTCGCGGTCGCCGAACTCGGACGAGGCCTCGCTTTCGGTGGCCTCCGATGGTGGCGGGGCGCGGCGCGGCTGCTGCTGCAGGGGGGAGAGGCGGCGGCGGAGGAGGGGGCGGGCGAGGGGAATGGGGAAAGGGGGAGGAGGATGTGCGCGAGGCGGTCTCGCTCGCTCTCTCTCTCTCTCTCCTTCTCTCGCTCTCTCTCTCTCTCTCTCGCTCTCTCTTGCTCGGATGATATGTTTGTCTATGCTGCAGCATGCCGGATTCAGTTACGCTTCCTGTCTTACACGGGAGGAGGGGCGAGGAGGAGGAGGAGGAGGAAGAGGAGGAGGAGGAGGAGGAGGAGGAGGAGGAGGAGCAGGAGTAGAGGGGGGAGGAGGAGGAGGGAGGAGGAGGAGGAGGGAGGAGGAGGAGGAGGAGGAGGAGGAGGAGGAGGAGGAGGAGCAGGAGCAGGAGCAGGAGCAGAGTGGGACGAGTAGAGGGGGAAGGTGGAGGACGTAGGAGGACGGAGGAGGACAGAGGAGGAGAAGGACGAGGAGGGGAGGAGGATGACGGGAGGAGAGGAGGAGGAGGCGGAGGAGGAGGAGAGGAGGACGGAGGAGGACGGAGGAGGACGGCGGAGGAGGAGGAGGAGGAGGAGGAGGAGGAGGAGGAGGAGGAGGAGCAGGAGCAGGAGGAGCAGGAGGCGGAGGAGAGTACGGAGGAGGTGGCGAGCCTCTGACGGGGGGCCGCCGCACGAGGGGGGCCGCCAGCGCCGCAGGAGCTCGCCATCGGGCGCCGGCGGCAACGCCCCCCCGCGCGGCTGCGCCTCCAGCTGCTGCCGGTGCCGCGGCACCTGCAGCCTCTCCTGGGGGGACGAGGGGGCGAGGGCGAGGAGGAGGAGGAGGAGGAGGAGGAGAAGGGGGAGGAGGAGGGGGAAGGAGGAGGAGGAGGAGGAGGAGGAGGAGGGAGGAGAGGAGGAGGAGGAGGAGGAGGAGGAGGAGGAGGGGCGAGGAGGAGGAGGAGGAGGAGGAGGAGGAGGAGGAGGAGGAGGAGGAGGAGGAGGAGGAGGAGAGCGCCTCGAGGGGGAACTCCGCGGGGATGCTGGCGCTGCGCCCACAGGAGCTCGCTTGGCCCACGCAAGGGCGTCTCCATGGCGATTCTCACACCTTCGGCTATGGAGGCGACCTCGGATGGACGCACCCAGACTGCCCGACATGGCCCGAAGGTGTCCCCAAATGCCCCAAGATGCCTTCCAAATGCTCCTATGACAGGCCCCAAAATGTATCAACGGAGTCACAAGGGAGCTCAGCCAGGGGGGCTGGCGGCCGATGGCGCAGCCCTTCATATCAAATCTTCGCCGCCGCCATGTCCAGAACGTCGTTGTCGACTGGAAAGCTGAGCTGCGGCCCTTCACGTTCTCGAGAAGGGGCGCGTCATTTGAACGAAGTGGATGGGGCTGCCCCTGTGCTGCTCCGCAGCACGTGAGCTTTTGCCCTTTTCTTTCTGGCGGGCGTCTTTCGGGGCAGGGCGGATCGCGGAGCACCGAAGATCGCAAAAAGAGGAACATGTCTCCTCTCTTCCTCACCCCCTTTCTCCTACTACGTGCTCCTCCTCTTCCTTCTCCTCTTCGACCCCTTTTCCTCCGCCTCTTCTCTCCCGCCTCCTCTCTCCCGCCGCATCCTCCTCCTTCTCCTCCTCCTCCTCCTCCTCCTCCTCCTCCTCCTCCTCCTCTTCCTCCCTCCTCCCTCCTCCCTCCCCCCGCGACCCCGACGCCGCTAACTGCGACGACGATGCCGCCGCCGCCGCCGACACCGACGTCGGCGACACCGACGCCGCCCACCGCGCCGCCGAGGCCGCCGCCACCAGTCTCCGCGCCGACGGCTCAGGGCCGCCGCAGGCTGCCGCAGGCCGCCCCGAGGGCCGCCGAAGAGGCCGCCGAAAGCTCCGCCCCGACGGCCACCAGCGGCTGCTCCGCGGCGCCGCCGCGGAGTAGCCGCAGGTGGCCGCCGAGGAGGCCGCCGGGAGCTCCGTCTCGACGGCCACCAGCGGCTGCTCCGCGGCGCCGCGGAGCAGGGGCCCAGCGCCGCGGCGGCGCCGCTGGAGCGGCATGCCTTCGGGGGGCACGGTCTCCCGGAGGCTCCCGGGAGCCTTCGAACCTCGGGCTGCGCTCCAGCAGCTGCGCCTCGCCGGCAGCGCTCCGGGGGCGCCCGGCTCGCCGCGAAAGGGCCGCCGGAGGGCCGCGGCACGGCCCCGAAAGGCAGGCAGAGGCCAGACGACGGGGGGGGGCCACAGCCTGCGTCGGCCACGCGGCGCGAGCTCGGCGGACCCACCCAGCGCCCTGGGCGCCCGCGAGGGCCCACGGGGCGGCACTGGGCGGCCACGTGGCGCCACCTCGGCGGAGCCACCCAGAGCACGGGGCGCCCACGAGCGCACACGAGGCGGCAGCGTGGGAAATCCTCGGCAGATCCAAGGAGATTGCCCACGACAGGTCATCCGCCACCGTGCCTCGGGGCACGAAGTGGAGTGTCCTCGGGTCCTCGAGGGTTACCTGTTCTCTGTACTCAGGACTGGGTGTTTCTAGTATTAAGGGCTGGGGGCCCAAATTCTCAAATTTTTCTGGCGTTCCCGCGCGCTCTTGGGCTCGGTTGCGTGGATTGTCCAAAGGCCACAAGGTCTCAAGACAGGCCAGGAGGGCCTCAAGAAATGCCCAGGAGGCTCCAAGACAGTCCAAGAGCGCTCCAAGAGGCTCCAAATAAGCCCCAAGAGCGCTCCAAAATGACCTCCAAGAGGGCCCAAAGAGGCAACAATCATTCATGTTCCTTGTGTTCCTTAATGTTCCTTCGCGTTTTCGCGTTTTCGGGCTTCCGACGCTCCAAGATGGACCCAGAAGCCCCCTAAGACCGTTCCAAGACGGCCCAAGAGGCCCCCAAGAGGGCCCCAAGACGGTCCAAAAAAAAGTCCCCAAAGCGGCCCAGGAAGCGCCCAAGATCGCCCAAGAAGGCCCTAAGAGGGGCCGAAAAGGGGGAGCATGAACGACAATCCGAGCCTTCCGCCCCGCGAGGCCCCCCAGGAGGCCCCAAGAGGCCCCCAAGGAACCCAATAGGCCCGCCAAAAGGCCCCAAGAGAACCAAGAGGCCCCCCAAAAGGCCCCCAAAAGAGGCCCTCAAAAAGGCCTCCAAGAGGCCTCAGAACTACCTCCAAGAGGCCCCCGAGTGGCATCCCACGATATCCAAATGAACATCCAAGAGGCCTTTAACTCACAACCCAAGCACGGTGGCGGGATGGGCCGAAGGCCGCTAGCTCCGCCGCCCCCTGCTGATTCATCACAGGGATGCCTGGCGTGCTGAACATTGCTGAACCCTTTCGGTTTTGGTTTTAGTTCTTTTCCAAAGGAACTCCCCCTGGGGCTTCGGCCCGCCCCGCCGGCCATCCGAAAAGATTGCCCAGGACCTGAATCCCCCAAGAAATACTCCAAGACGGCTCAAGATGGCCTCCAAGATGGCCACGTTGGCCCAAGATGGCCTCCAAGATGGTCCAAGATGGCCTCCAAGTCCGCCCAAGATGGTCCAAGACGGCCCAAGAGAGTCGAAGATACCTCCACGGTCGTCCGAAAAGCCTCCAAGACGGCCCAACACGACCCAAGAGGCCTCCAAGAGGTCCTCCAGGAGGGCCCGAAGAGGCCAAAATCATTGACATGCTCTTCTCTCCTTTCTCAACGGCGAATAAACTTTGTTGCAGGCGAGGCCCGGAGACTGGCTACTGATAGGCTTAAAGCGGCCTGAAATGAGGCCGAGCGAAACACACATTCGAATGCAGAGTCTGCTCCACAAAGATCCTCGTTAAATAAAGGGAGGTGCGGGTGGGAGCTCGAGCGGATTCGGCGGCGACAGACCGAAAGGACGCCAGAGCATTCTCGCCGTCCCCACATACATGCTCTTTTGTCCTTTCCTCGGCGGCGAATAAACTCGGTTGCAAGCGGGGCCCGGAGACTGGCCGCTGATAGGCTTAAAGCGGCCTGAAATGAGGCCGACCGAAACACGCATTCGAATGCAGAGCCTGCTCCACCCCAAGCCGTAGTTCACAGCCACGTGGGGCTGAGTGCCGACAGGCACGGAGGTGAAAAGGCGAGGGTGTCAGATCGAATGACGTTCGCCCCAGACATGTGACAACAGAGCCCGAGCTAACGCACTTGCTAACTTTGGAGGGTAGGCTGCGGCCTCGCGCGCGCTCCTCCCCTCCAGGATTATATGTTTCTTCCCCGAGAAGGACCGGCGACCGTGCCGCCCTGTGCAGCGAACGGACCCAGGACGCCCTAGAAACCCAAGGTCGAGCTCGGAGCCTCCAAACACCAATCTAGTCGCCTTTCGGTGGGGCGCCCCGTAAGCACAGCGGTTCACAACTGCTGTTCTACACATAAGATGCTGAAGTAAACAGGCCAGGGCGGGATCGTGCCAGACATAATTGCTGTGCGGATGCTCTATGCAGAAAGGGATCCTGAGCTTGTTACACAATCGAATCGTCCGCAAGCAAAACTCTAGACAGGCATTCCCGAGACGAACCTTTTCCTGCTGGATCTCTGGGGGCCCACTAAGACCTCTCGGGAATTGGGTGCTCCTAAAGTGTACATTCACATTCTGAACAACTGAAAACCATCATGATTCCCAGCGCCTGGCCAAGTCGCATGGCACTGCGCAAATCTATCGTTAGGTTTTTGAAGGATTTGGGCATTTGCTTCTTCTCGGCATTCCGACGGCTGAAGACGGCCCAAAAGGCCCCCAAGACCGCCCCAAGATCGCCCACGAGTCCTCCAAGATGGCCACACGACTGCCCAAGAGGCCCCCAAGATGGCCCCAAGAGGGCCCCAAGACGGGCCAAGAGGCCCCCAAGACGCCCAAGATGGCCTCCAAGACGGCCCCAAAGCGCCCCCAAAAACGCCCCAAGCCGGTTCAGAGAGGCCCCCAAGACGGCTCCCGACGGCGTCAGACGGGCCAGGAGCGCCCTAAGACGGCCAAAGACCGAGAAGTCCCAAAAAGGCCCTAAGAGGACCTCAAGAGGCTCCAAGAGAGCCCAAGATAGCACCAACATGGCCTCCAAGACGGTCCCAAGATGGCCCAATCGAGCCCAAGAGTGCCTCAAGAGGTTCCGAAGAGACATCCTCCCCCTTCTCCTTTTTCCTCCTTCTCCTCCTCTTCCTCTTCCTCCCCCGCGTGTTTCCCGAAGGCTTTCCAAACCGACTCGGGGAACACATGGTCCAATAGCTTCGCCCCCCAAGATGCCTCCAAGACGGCACAATCTGCTTCCAAGACGGCCTAACATGGCGTCATTGCCCAAGACGCACAAGATGGCCTCCAAGACGGTCCCAAGACGCCTCCAAGACGGCCAACGTGGCTGAAGATGGCCTCCAAGATGCGTCCAAGATGATCAAGATGGCCTCAAGAAGCTCCAATATAGCCCCCAAATGGCTTCCAAGACAGTCCCAATATGCCTCCAAGACCGTAAAGAAGACCCACTAAAGCCCCAGAGTAGCCCAAGAAGCTCCCAAGAGGCCTCCTCCTCCTCCTCCTCCTTCTTTTTCCCCCTCCTCCCCTTCCTCCTCCCCCACCATGTTCCCCGAACGGTTTCCAAACCGATTCGGGGAACACATGGTCCGATAGCTTGGCAGGCCTCTGTCCACAACGTTCGGCCACATAGGCGCTTCCGAAAGGGCAGGGGACGGCGGTGATTCGCCGTTGGTGTGTTCGATACTTCCTGTGGGCTAGCATGCATATCTACGTACACGCGCATCCACATACACACATACATACATCCACCTACATGCACCTACGGGCGGCAACGAGGCGGCCCGAACATGGCACCAGCCGAAGCCCCGACATACCCACCCAGCGCACGAGGCATCAACGACGCGGCACCAACGGGGCACCAGCCGAAACCCCGACGCACCGACCAAGCGCACGAAGCGGCAACGAGGCGGCACCAACTGGGCACCAGCCGAAAGCTCGACACACCCATCCAATGCCTGAGTAACATAAGTAAGAACCTGTAGGTACAAACAACGGTCGGGAAACTATGCCTTAAATAATAGCCCCTTTGAAAGGGGAGCCGTCTTCCGTCCGTGTAGCTACTGCACAACGTTATAGAAGTAGCGCGATCTGAAGATGTCACAGACGAGAGCCCCATTTTCAAAGTGCGCCAGTCTCCATCTGCGTACGTGCTGGAACTTTCAAAACAATTGTGCGCATCGCTAGGGCGGGACCCACATGTTCAACACGGCCAGGTTTCCGTCCGTTCACGTAGTGGAAACTTGTAAGACGAATGTGCGTGGCGGTAATGCGACAGCATATCTTGAACACCACCAGAGCTTTTAAAACGGATGTGCACGTCGCCGAAGCAAGAAACCCATTTCGAATACAACAGGCTCTTCATCCGAATAACTGTTATCAGCATCCCAGTGCGACCCTACCTAGGAGTTGGAGGATCTTGGAAAGCAACATCTATATCTAAACCGAAAGCTACATCAACATCTACACCTGCCTCTACATCCACATCAACATCAACAGCGAAACTCACATCTACACCTACATCTACACCTACGTCTACATCAACATCTACACCTACACCTACATCTACATCTACATCTACATCTACACTTTGCTATGATATGCTGTGCTGCGCTATGCTGTGCTACGCTCTGCTATGCCATCCTGTGCTCTGCTATGCTAAAGCTCAGCGAAGCTAAGATGAAGGTAAGCTAAGCTAAACCTGAGCTAAGATGAAGCTAAGCTAAGCTAAGATGAAATAAGCTAAGCTAAGATGAGATAAGCAATGCTAAGCTAAAGGAACGTCACTGGGGGAACCGCGGGGCGGATGCCGGGGGAACCGCCCGGGGCGGGCAACACTGCCCGGCCCCTTTAAGCTAATACAGTAAGAACCCTTCTGGGTAGAGCCTAGGTAGGGAAAAAACTAAGCATCGGGTGACAAGCTGAAAGGAAGTCTCAGGCGAAATGCTCAGGGAGGCTCATGGACATGTCCGGTGTTGCGACGGGGAGGAGCTATGTCCAAGAAGGATGGGCGGAGGCAGGAGGAGTGGGGAATTGGAGAAGGAGGGGGGCGA